ATGTCCAGACCAGGTTTGTAACCTCGCTCTCCAAGGGAGCGGTAGTGAGGCACTTACTACAAGAGAAGGCCTGGCCAATTGTCGCGGCGAACAACGATAAATTGGCGGAGCTCTCTGTGTAGTTTGTTGTCAAAGAGTATCAATCAAGCTCAAGTCTGATGGCTTTTGCTCTGGAGGATCACGCCAAGTGGGTGACAATAATGCCTCGCCAATTGGGTGATCTCTCTCTGTACACCACAGGGGAGAGGGCCTGTGTAGTGTGTACACCACAGGGGAGAGGACCTGTGTGTTTGCTCGCGCCGAGAGAACGTATCACTAATTAGCACTGACGGCCTAATCAACCAGTTTTCTTCCTACCGCGACCGAATGAAGGGGAAAGTGAGGTCGGAGGGGGAGGGGCAAGCTGTTCACTAGAGAGAAAGAGATGATATCCACCGTTCGTGAATGCGAATAACAAAACCAGTAATAGAATAAAATGAACCAAAAGAATAAAAAAACGAGTGAAATTCAACAATTAATCAACAATATTACATAGTTCATAGAATTCGTAAGTAATTGCGAATTGACCTCAGGTCAGTATGAGTGAGTGTTGCCATGCCCTGCTATCGTAAAAAAATTAAATTTTCACTGTTAGCACTTTTAACCAGCAAAACCAGCATAAGAGCGATTGTACCTTTTGAAAGACTTAACACGTGGTTTTGAAGACATCGAATCGATGTTTATGGTCGATGGGATTTTCGGAGACGTGTATGGTATCGTTTTGAGCTAGCATAATGTATTATGTTATGCAATATGCTATAGGGTCAGCTCACATCAGATCAGGTCAGATTAAATCAGATCAGGATACATCACATCAGATCAGGTCAGATTAAATCAGATCAGGTCAGATTACATCAAATCAGACCATGTCAAATCACATCAGGTCATGTCACCTCAGAAACGGCCAGATCACATCAGATCAAGTCAGGTTATATCGAAATGGCCATATCACAACAGATCAGGTAACATTACATCAGATTAAATCAAATCAGGGCAGATCACATCAGATCAGGTCGTATCACATCAGATCAGTTCAGGTGGGGTCATATGACGTCAAATTACATAACATCAGGTCAGATCAGATCACATCAGATGAAGTTAGATCATATCAAATCATGTCGCATTACATCAGATCAGGTCAGGTCCTATCAAATTAGATCAGGTCAAATTAATACGGTTAAGATCTCTTCATATTAGGTCAGATTAATCAGATTTGAGCTGATCAGATGCAATATAAACTGATGTAATGTATTCTGACCTCGACCCGGGTCAGATTACAGGTCAGATAACATCAGATCAAGTCAAATTGCATCATGTCAGATCACATCAGATCAGGTCATCATATCAGCTCAGGTCAGATCACAAGAAGACCAGATCAGATTTCATCACGTCATATCACATCAGATCAGGTCAGATTAAATCAGACCAGGTCAGATTACATTTGGTTAAATCAGACAAGGTCTGATTGCTTCAGGTCAGGTCAGATCACATCAGCTTATGTCAAATCACATATCACTTCATATCACACCAGATTTGGTCACATCAAATCAGGTTAAATCACATCAGCTCAGGTCAGGGCGCGTCAAAAACGTGAAAACCAGGCCAAACCACATCACACCAGATCAGATCACATCAAATCATGTTAAATAACATCAGGTCAGATTACATCACATCAGATCAGTTCATCCCATCAGGTCAGGGCAGATCACATCTCACCAGGTCAGATCACATCAGATCAGTTCATATCACTTCATATCAGATCAGATCACATCGGATCAGGTAAGACCACATCAGATCTGGTCAGATTGCTTCAGAGTAGATCTCATCAGACTAGGTCAGATTGATTCAGATTAAGATAGATCACATCAGATTACATCAGATCAGGTCAGATTGTAGCGTTCGTTAATCAATATTCGTACCTGGCTCAAAGAGGTGTAAAGCTCACTGCCTCCACCCGATTGATACGTTCGGGAACGACTGTATTGTGTATGAAGGGGTGCTGGGTTAAAAGAATTATGGAAAGGAGCGACAGTAGTGTATGTATGTGTGTGTGAGAAGTGTCGTTGTGCAAATGAGCCAAAGGGAGGGTAAGCGTGGTTGGAATCCGAGGAGAGGCGTGCATAGATGCTTTATCTGTACTTTAGGGTTTTAGATTGTTTAGATTAAAATATATTAAGGTCGTGTTCAGCCTTCCTTCTTACAATGGTCGGGGACTTTCAAAAACTAAGCTATTTATTTCATAAAAACTAAAATAAAACGACATAAAACAAAACACGAATACAATAAAATACACAGTAAAAATAAACACTAAAACACAAACGAAAACAAGCACTAAAGCACGACAATGACATAAAACAGACATAAAACACGGTAAACACAAGCACTATAAAAAAATAAAATAAAATGGAGAACCACCTTTTCTCATATATATATCTTAATCACTTATCTCTCAATTGCCGAGACCACCATTCCTGCGCACCACAACCTCTCGAGACCAGCCCTGGAACCTAGGACTCTGGTACTCTACCTCGAATTCGTGCGCGGGGCTGGGAACTTTCCCTTGTCACCTCGGCCCGCGAAAAATTCCATTTATAAAATAGATAAAATGTTCCATGAAAATAAGAGAATAAAATTATAAATAAGAACCATGATGTAAAATGTATGATAAAAAATTAAAGTTTTATAAAATGTTCATTAGAAGGGTAAAAGTTTCATGGTATTTCATAAAAAGTAGTAAAAATCCTATTTTTTCAGTAATGATTTTTCTTAGTGGTCAGTTTCTTCTCGGCGTAGGGCTCATTTTAAACATAACATAAAAATGTTTAACATAAAATAAACACAGTAAAAAAAAATAAAACGGCAACACAAAAGGAAAAACAACGGTGCCGCGCAGGTGAGTCCCTCCACGTGTGCTTCCCGTTTTGTGTGGGCCGCAGCAGCCTCGCCGCGACGGCCATCCTCACCCCCAGGAGATATACACAGGGGTTGTGTGCAAGCCAGGAGACGGAAAAGGACGGGACCTCCGCCGTGGAGCGAGGGTGGATGTGATCCTTCATCTCAAAAAGACGGGGGCGAAAGAGACACGTAGAGGACCGCCGGGGACGGATACAGGCGGTCCACTACAATCTGACCGTATTTGATGTAATCTGGCCTAACGTAATGTAAATTGACTTGATCTGATGTGATCTGACCTGACCTGATGCGATCTGACCTGTTCCTTTTGTGAACCAACCTTATCTGATTTGACGTAATCTAATGATTTAATCATGTAATCTCGCCTGATCTGATGAAATCTGACCTGATCTGATGTAATCCGACCGTTTCTGATGTGACCTGGCCTGATCTGATGTAATCTGACCTGATCTGATGAAATCACATCAGATTTCATCAGATCAGGTCAGATTACATCAGATCATATTAGATCAGGTCAGATCACATCAGATAAGGTCAGATTGCTTCTGAAGTGATATGATCTGACCTGATGTGACGTGATCTAATTTGAGCTGATCTGATGTGATATGACCTGTTTTATGGAATCTGACCTGATCTTGTGTGATTTGATTTGACCGATATGATTTGCCATGATATGACCTGATCCAATGTGATTTGACCTGATTTGATGTGTTCTGACCTGATCTGATGAAATCTGACCTAATATGACCTGACTTGATGTGATGACCTGATCTGATGTGATATGACCTGATCTGAAGTGATCTGACGTGATTTGATGTAATCTACACTGATCTCATGTAATCTGACCTGAAATGTAATTAATCTGAATCAATATGATCTGGTCTGATGTGATCTGACTTGACCTGATGTGATCTGATATGATACCTGATCCAATGTAAGATGACTTGATCTGACCTGATGTGATGTGGTTTGGCCTGATATGCTGGTTTCCACGTCTTTGACGCGCCCTGACCTGAGCCGATGTGATTTAACCAGATTTGATGTGACCAAATCTGATGTGATATGAAGTGATCTAATGTGATTTGCCCTAAGCTGAAATGATCTGACCTGATCTGAAGCAATCAGACCTTGTCTGATTTAACCAAATGTAATCTGACCTGATCTGATGCTATTTGACCTGATCTGATGCGATATGACGTGATCTGATATGATATGACGTGATCTGATGTAATCTGATCTGGTCTTCTTGTGATCTGACCTGGTGACCTGATTTGATGTGTTCTGACCTGATTTGATGTGTTCTGACCTGATTTGATGTGTTCTGACCTGATTTGATGTGTTCTGACCTGATTTGATGTGTTCTGACCTGATTTGATGTGTTCTGACCTGATTTGATGTGGTCTGACCTAATATAATGTAAACTGATTTGTTCTGATATATAATCAGGTCATATCACATCAGATCAGGTCATACAGCATCAAAGGTCAAATGACAAGTCAGGTCAGTTGACAAGTCAGTATGATCTTATCTGCTTACATGGTGTGATCTGACCTGATATGATTTAATCCAACCTGTTCTGATGTGATCTAACCTGAGTTGATGTGATCTCGCCTGATCTAATGAAATCTGACCTGATGTGATCTGATCTGATGTAATCTGACCTGACGATGTGATGACCTGATTTGATGTTATATGACCTGATCTAATGTGCTATGACCTGATCTGATGTTATCTGACCTGATTTGATATAATCTATACTGATCTCGTGTGATCTGACCTTATTTGAGGATATCTGACACTGTTGTTATTTCATCTGATGTGATGAAATCTGACCTGATGTGATGTAAAATGACCTGATCTGATGGAATCTGACCTGATCTAATGTGATCTGATGAAATCTGACCTGAGCTTATGTAATCTGACCTGATATGATATCTGAACTGATTGATGTTATCTGACCTGATCTGATGTAATCTGACCTGATCTGATGTAATCTGACCTGATCTGATGTTATCTGACCTGATCTGATGTGATATGACGTGATCTGCCTTAATCTGAATCAATCTGACCTGGTCTGATGTGATCTGATATGATCTTACCTGATCCAGTGTAAGATGTAGGATCTGACCTGATCTACTCTGAAGCAATCTGACCAGATCTGATGAAATCTTACCTGGTGAGATGTGATCTGCCCTGACCTAGCCATACTTTATGTGATCTGATGTGATTTGCTCTGATGGATGTGAATGGCCTGATCTGAAGTAATCTACCTGGTCTGATGTGATCTGACCTGATCTGATGTGATCTGATCAAGTCAGATTACATCAGATCAGGATACATCACATCAGATCAAGTCAGATCAGGTCGGATTAAATCATATCAAGTCGGATCACATTATATAAGCAGATAAAATCATACTGACTTGTCATTTGACCTGATGTGATCTAAAAAGATCTTACCTGATCCAATGTAAATTGACTTGATCTACTCTGACGCAATCTGACTAGATCTGAAGTGATCTTACCCGACCTGATGTGATCTGACCTGATCTGAAGTGATCTGACCTGGTGAGATGTGATCTGCCCTGACCTGATGATCTAATCTGATCTTATTTAATCTGACCTGATCTGAAGCAATCTGATCAGATTTGACGTGATCTGACCTGATTTGATGTAATAATAACTGATCTGATGTGATCTGTCCTGATCTGATGTGATCTGGCCATATTTTATGTGATCTGATGTGATTTTATCTGATCGATGTGATCTGAAGCAATCTGACTTGATCTGATGCGATCTTATGTGATCTTATCTGATCTGATGTGATCTGGTCTGGTCTGAAGTGATATGAACTGATCCGATGTGATCTGACCTGGTGAAATATGATCTGCCCTGAGCTGATGTGATCTGACCTGACCTGATGTGATGATCTGATCTAATTTAATCTGACCTGATCTGAAGCAGTCTGACCAGATTTTATGTGATCTGACATGATTTGATATGATATGACCTGATATGATATGATCTGGCCATATTTTATGTGATCTGACCTGAACTGAAGCAATCTGACCTGGTGTGATGTGATCTGACCTGATCTAATGTGATCTTATCTGATCTAGTGTAATCTGACCGCATTTGATGTGGTATAATATGTAATATAATACGACCAGATTTTATGTCGTATGATCTTATTTGATGTGATTTGATCTGATCTGAAGCAGTTCAGTTCAGTTCAGTTAGATTTGCGAAGTCATGCTTCGCCCGGGCCTTTTCTCTGGGGTGGCCCGGCCTGTGTTAACTATTTCTAGTTAACTCAAATGTTTTCTTTGAACTGCATGCTTACCGCGGTGGCTGGATTGCAAGCAAGCGATCCAGCTGCCATGGTGAAAGCATGTTGCACACCCTTTTTACCAGCCCGGCGGCTGTGGTGGGTGGTCCCTGTCTCAGAAATTGTGTGTGTACACAATTCTGCAAGTAATGTAACAGGGTGGCGTTAGGCTCGCCGCAGTGTTTACATGACCTCCCAGACTCACTGTCAATAATTTGCCAAGCGCATTGGTAACCTAGTCTTAGTCTGAATAGTATGACTTCGGTACCTCTTTTTGTGTTTGGAGGAAGGGCCAGTGGCTCATAGCCTGAAGCATCTGAGTACCACTTGGCAGTGAGCGATTTTGTGATGTTTTCTCTATGTGCTCCCCGGAGGACCGTACACGCTGCAGCTTTGGTACCTTGGCTCAGTCCCCTTCGGCTGGGTTTAACGATCATGGAGGATGGGGGCATACCCCTGCCCTTTTCGGCTAGTTTATCAGCAAGCTCGTTCCCTTGTATGCCTATGTGGCTTGGGATCCAGTTTATGATGATTATTCTACCTTGACTAAGGATTCTTTGGGCTATGTTTAGTAATGTTGTCAAGAGGTAGATGTTATCTGGGGGCATGCTATG